CGCCAGGCCCCAAAGCAGCTGAAGGACACACCCCACCGGCCAAGCCAGCGGCCCTGTCTGCGGGATCCACGCCCCTCCTGCCCCCCCAGCCCTGCTCCCCCACCCAGCCCCGCCCAGTTGGCCCTGGCCCCACCCCACCAGCCGGCCCCACCCACCTCGTCCCAGGTGCAGCTGGCCGGGCACCCACCTCCTTCTTGGTATAGCTGGCCTCCCACATCTGGCGCTCTGCCTCCAGCTGGTCCTTCAGGGTCTGCAGGTCCACCTGGGGAGCAAGTGACGGCCTGAGTACTGGCTCTGCTGGCCGCCCCCTTAGGGCCCGTTGCCTGGCCAGGTCAGGGGTTCGCCAGAGCTGCAGGGGCCTGCAGGCAGAGGCGGAACCCAGGGTGACTCCCACGTGTGCCCGAGGTTCTGCATGGCGTCCAGGCAGTGCCCCCCACAGCAGGCACCCAAGAGCGGGATAAGGGACCCGGGGACCTGGTGCCTGCGCTCTTGCTCCTCGGCCGCCTTCTCAAACTCGGCTCGCAAGGCCTGGCCGGCCGCGGCATTGCTCTCCTCCAGCTGCCGCCTGAGCGCTTCCAGCTCGGCTCGCTGCCTGCTGGCCGGGGAGCGTGTGAGGCAGGGCCGCAGGCGGGCTCGCTCCCCGCCCCAGCCCACGCCAGGGCACCTGGCTGCCTGCTGGCCCAGCCGCTCCCGCTCCTCGGCCACCTCGCCATACAGCCTCTGCCGCTGCTGCCCCAGAGCCCGCTGCTCCTGTTCCAGGTGCTGCTCGAAGCTGTGAGGACAGCAGGGGTATGCTGACGGGTGGGGACAGAACCCACGGACAATGCTCCCTAGCTCTGCCCCAGGGCCTGCACTGGCCCGGGCAGCAGAGCCCACGTCCCTGACAGCCGTCCGGTCTGACCACAGCAGCCTGGCTCACAGGGAAACCGAGTGAGTGCGGAGTTAGTGGAGTCACAGCACAGCACCACCCAGGCGCCGAGTTACTGTCCAGGGCAGACCTCTGAGCCCCTCCTCCTGCCTCGGAAGCTGCACCCAGAGCCTCAACTCTCGGCAGGACGCCCTGGACGGGTCCTGGGAAATGCAGACCCTCACCTGGAGGTTCCCAGCACCCCGCCCCCACCCCCGCCGGCCGGTGGGACGCACCGCTGCCGGGCCAGCTCGCGCTCCCGCTGCCCCAGCGCCGCCTGCTCCTGCTCCAGGCGCCCCCGCAGCTCCTGGGCCTGGCGCTCGCAGCGCTGAGCAGCCCGCGCCTCCGCCTGCAGCAGCTCCGCCTCGTGCAGGCTCTTCAGCTTCTTGACCTCCTGCTTGTGCTGGGCGACCAGCCTCTGGATCTCGGGCTCCAGGCCTGGGGGGAGGGGGTGCCGCAGAGGCCAGTGGAGCCCCGTCCCCGCCCCACCCAGCAGAGGCCGGCGTGGACCCCGTCCCCAGCCCACCCAGCAGAGGCCGGCGTGGACCCCGTCCCCAGCCCACCCAGCAGAGGGCGGCGTGGACCACGCCCCCAGCCCACCCAGCAGAGGCCGGCGTGGACCCCGACCCCGCCCCACCCAGCAGAGG